GCCCTCGCTTACCGAGGCGGCGAAGATGACGGCCCTATGGAGGAAACCTCACATAGCGGTGAGTTTTCACCCCATAGAAATCATTAAACAAAGTTTAATGCGTTTCTATGGGGTTTCCCTCCTACATTGTGATGTTTCCGTATAGCGACGATTAATCCGGAACAGGTTAATGTCGCTATGCGGGGCACCACTGTACTAGCAAAAATCTTGTTAGAGATTTACACCAGCATATGTATCATTACATAAACCACAATGGCGAATGTGCTCTCATCAAGTCACCACATTATGTGACTGGTGCATCTTTAGGAATGTGAAAGACAACTCATTTAGTTAGCAGTTTGTTGATGCGGTTTACACAGTTATACTTAATCTCCTGTAGGATTCTAGCCAAGGCCTACAATGGCAAACCCAGGAAACCCCTTTTTACCTGGCATTTCGCTAGAACAATGGTGAACAAGATGTGTGGGAGGTCATATTATCCGACTCGCCCAGCAAGAGACACACCCCACCCTCCTAGCAATATGCTGTTGAAATTCAGCACTGTGATGTTTGCAGAGCATCTGTTTTCATTTAAAGCAAGGCATGAAGGGAGCACACTTTTTTAAAAACACTCAATCCAACTTCCAGGAGGAAAACTGAATTTGAGAGCAAAGACATGATCCTTGCACATCTTGTTTTAAAGGGAAAACACTTGGTTTTTGCTGTCAGTGTACTACAAGATTTTACCAGCACAGCAGCAGATTTATGAATGGCCCCTAAAAAACTGGTAAGGGCTATATGCATACCCACATGTTGTCCCTCATCTCTAAAAGTTAAAAGAATTATTTAGCCAGTTTTCCTTTAATTTTTTAGGGTGAATAACTGCGTGGGATTTTCCAACTACAAGTTTTTCCTCCTGTTTTTATTTTATTCCCTCCTGTATTGCCTATTTGTTGCTTCTACAGTTCTGCAGTATTTCATAAAGTTTTGGACAGTAAGTTTTGCATCAGATTCTCATAATTGTCTATGTGTAATATAAATATGAAAGCATCATACTTTCATCTTAGAACATGATTATCATCACTTTCAAGGAACTAAAGCAACTAACATTTACATTTAAGTCTTATTTCATTTATTTATATAATTTCAGATTCCCTAGAACTAGTAAACTTGGGGGGAAAACTCACTGTCTCTCTTTTATGTTGGCTTCATCTAATTTTGAACCAGATCTGTTAGTGAGAACTTTCCTGCTCTGATATAATATTATGGTGAAACTTTTATATTAAATCACTACTATAAAATAATTTTGTTGTAACAAATGCAAAATTTTATGCCACAATCCAGATAATTTTAGGGCTGCATGTTGTCTTGATGCCATGCACTTGTACTGCTGTGTTTCTGAACAGAGTTGGGTAACATTGAGAGAGTTAATTGTGATAACTTCTCACATTATGTAAGTCAAAACTTGAATGTCTCCTATGAGGAAACAATTTGTATGTGCATGTTTCACCTATAGAAAAGAGAAATTAATCATTGACTCAAAGAAAATGTAATCTGTCAGTTCATGACTGTTGTTTTCTTAATCTCACCCTTTAGTGAGTCAGACACAAGTAGCTATGGACCAAGTTTGAATACACATATTTCAGATCAAGTGCAGATAAAGGACTTGTTAGAAATATTAGCCTGAATGGTCTTGTTTGTTTGTTTGTTTTGTGTGTGTGTGTGTTTATTTTTTGGTTTTTTTTTTACCTATTCCTTCCTTTCTTAGCATGGTGTGATAAACAAGGAGCTCTTTGTAGCATCACAGAATTAAGAAACAGTGGCCACTGTGCTATGCATTATAACGATGGCCATCAGTACAGGATAGGACCTTAAACCATATTTTAATTTAAGATTGTATTGTGTTCTGAGCCTGGTAACCAGAGTGTCCTAATTTGGATATACAGTGGGGTCTGGACTTACGAATGGTTCTACATACAAACC